TTGATAATGCTCATCTTATCAAGACGTCTTTTAAAATTTAAATTTATCAAGTTTGTTTGTAATTAAAAATTCGACAGATAAATAGAAAACCGTTTGTTAATCTAAATACGCTAATTAATTACTTSTCAAAAACCAGTTTTCTATACTTACCGCAGTCTTCAAAGGGTAGAGTACGCAAGCTTAATAATCTCTTGTAAATTTCTTTTGATGCATTTTGAACATCTATTGGCTCTGCAGCTGTAAATGTCAGCCAAAACACATTACATAAATACATTAATTTTAAATAAAAGAATTTAAGGTGCATTTTTCTTGCTTTTCGATGTCGATGTCAATAATTAGTTGCCGATGAAGAAGCGTTTACTTTTTACTTAGCGTAGCGTATAATGCTTGTATTGCGTTCAATTATAACTGGCAAAAGTAATTTGATTAGGCAGAAGGTATAGCACCTGATACAGTAGCGGAATTTCTAACGATCACATTTGATTAAACGTTTTTTGTATTTTTTTCTTCCTTTCCAACACTAATGCAATACATTCATTTTTCTTTGGTTAAATGAGTGACGCAAATGTAAATTGAAATAATTTTAAATAACTTACCATTTCCATCATTTGTGATTTCTCTTCGTGATTGCTTATATGAGTTTTACTTTTATTTTTATATATTTTGTTATTGCTATAAATATTTTTATTACAGTGCTTATAAATAATTATAGTAGTATATACGGACGATTCATTCCATAATGCCCTTAAGATAATTCGTGTTCTTAATAAATCTAAAATCGGCGCGTAGCTGTATAAATTGTCGCACAACCGATTTGTCTAAGTAGTTCTGAAATGAAGAAAACAGAATATATAAWAACTGCGATTTACTTGTGATTATATTAAAACTACAGATAAAATAGCTATTAGAATGGCATATGGGTTATTAGAGGAGTGCGTAGAATGACTATTTGAGTTAAGCGCTTTTGTTGCATTTATTGGTTGAATTAGTCAAAATATTTTATAGTATTACTTACTAAGGAAATTTTAGGAAATAATTGGTTTTACCCATAATCGATTAACCTGAATTTAAACCATACCATTTTATTAAACCAAACCACACCATTAAACCAAACCACACCATAAATTTAAAATGCTGTGAATGTGAATGTATGAAAGTAATTAAATTTACTTGATATGACATTTAAATTTATTATTGTTAGACATTCGTTTATGAAGTATAATCTTTTCTTAACAAAAAATAACAATATTAAAAATTCGGAGACGCGTGGTGTGGCTATAGTATACATTTAAAATTGTTATAATAAACTATTCAATACGGTGAAAATATTTTCCATACTCCAAACTAATATTATAAGTATGAAAGTAAGTCTGTTTACCACCACCGCCACGAAGATGATCATCATGCATTTAGTTATTACTTTGTGTTTATAATCCGAAAACGAGGGTAAGTTTTTAAAATGATTAAAAAATTATTATTATTACTTTTTTTTTAATACAGACATAGTTAAGCTATCTTATCTTATAAGTTTTTTTCTCTAAAATCGGTTCGGTAGTTTAGGAACTTAACGCGAACAAAACGTGACACGTAATTTTATGTATATAGAAAAATAATTTAAAATAAATTCAAACCTATTGTTATAATTTACTCACCAAAGTTTCTCCAGTACAAACTTCTTTCAAATTTTCTGGTTTCACAAGTAAAAGGTTACATAACGCGTGCAGGATATCGAAAAGTTGTGTAACTAATGGATTTTCCAATTCTCGTATGCATTTGCGATATTCATTTACATCACAGATGGCGCACATGGCACCAGCTGTATTGTATTGCATTGTTTGTAAATGATCAAAAATTACACGATGAAAGCGCACACCGATTTCATGTAAGACATTTTGCAAGTTATCACCATCAACACAGCGTTTTGCTTGCTTTAATGCGGGCTGTAAATTTTGAACAACTTGCAGACAAGCCTAAAAACCAATAAACATAAAACAAATATGTATCATTCAAAATGTATAACTTAACAGAGTAACCGAGTTATAAATTTGAAACATATCTCGGCAATAAATTAACTGAGTTCCTTTGACACCAACATATGTATAATTTATTAATGTGCGTATTCTAAGATCGTTGACTCACCGCTGATGAGATTGTGTCCATATCCGTTTCTGGTTTGTAATCAGTTTTCTTTTGCTCGCTTTGTAAATATAATTTTACCCAGCTGATGATAGCATTGACAGACCGTTCGAGCCCCTGATCTAACGTTTTTTCAATTTGCTCCATTAACAAACGTCTTTTGAACATAAAATCAGAATATTTTGGAGTGTTACTGCAAAGTATACAAACATATTTTAAATCCATTGCAATTGAGTTCAAATTTAAACGCGCTTACATAATGCAAGGGATAACTGAGCTGTTCGAGAGTTTTTCTAACAAATGCACAATTATGTTGGTTTTTTGTACCACATCAAAGAAATAAAGTTGTGGAAAGGCTTTGCCTTCTACTATTGGTATTGCTTGAAGACCCAGTTCTAGGGCATACACTACATGTTCGTGCATAAGGAAACGTAATAAAATATCATTTAACTTAATCACATTGGTGGGTAATTCGATCGCACTGGAGAGTAGACGACAACGTTTAAGTGCAGCCTTGGCCTCCTGCARCATATTTATGGCTAACTCCTCGCAGAGGAATGTCTCGCCGCCATAGTCTTCGATCTGAGCAATATTGATATTGGCTCGTGTACCTATTAACGCCTGCATATCACGTCTCAGCTCTTGAAAACGTTCTGTTGGTTTTTTTTGGTGCTTTTTATTGACGTAAAACCGTTCCAATTCAGTTGAGCATTTTGTTGTTAGGCACCTTGACTCCACTTCCACATAATTCGCCAAATGTTTTGTGAAAATTTGTTGGGTCAACTTTTGTAGCAGATCGTCGTCCATAGTCGACATGTAAATTTGTAGATCTAAAGATAACTTTAGCGTTCTGCCATAAGAAATCAAACATTAATTTATATTAAGTATTATTAGAATTTGCTTGTATTTTATATAAAAACACTAAAAAAAAACAAGAAATAACGTTTACATCGGTTGCACCGAATAACCTTCAAAAATACAAAAGTTGTCATACAAGAACTTGATTTTGATCGGTCGGCTTGTATGGCAGCTATTTGCTACTGTGKTCCGTCTGAATAGTTTCTTACTGTAGTGTTGTTTTGGATAATAATTTTTATACAGTCAGATAAAAAAGTTTTTCATACAAAAACTTGATTTTAATCGGTAAGTTTGTAAGACAATTACATGGAGTTCTGACGTCGTCAGTTCCGGCAAATGAGCAGCACTTACTGAAAATGAGGATGTTTGCAAAATTTCATATGGATCCCTCAAAAACTAAGGAACGCATATATACAGAAAAACGGACAAGAATAAATCGACTCTTTACCCTGGGCATTTATGTATGTATATTTTTTTATAGGGTCTCCGATATTTTGATGTTACAAACTTCGCGGCAAACTTAATAAAACCTGTTCAGAGTAAAAAAGACTTAGACATATGTATGTATAAAAATCTTAAATATGCCTCGACTGTTTTGACAAAAATCTTACCTTGAATACAATTCATAAAGTGTACGTAAGTATTTCTCCTCGTCCTTTTTATCATCCAATTTCGTTAGAGCATACTGATTGAGCTTTAACTGATAAATGTTGAGAATAAACTTCGACATGACTTGCGCTGGATTGGCAAATACTTTTTTTATAATTTCATAGTGATGTTTGCACATAGGTGTTATTCCAATAAATATATCCTTTCCGCCATAAGGCGTCTATAGCGAAGAAAGTTTKTTTAACACTCTTCATAAATACAAATACTAATAATCGTTCAACTTACCATTTGGCTTTGCTCTATATAGGCATCGATACACTGTGTATAGCCCTTGAATTGAGATAAAATCTGCGCCAGCTTTTTCATTTTTTCAATATCTTCACACTTTTGTGCTGTGGCGAATTCTTCGATAAGACGGCGCTCTACGTCATCATACATTTTTTCGATTTTCCTTTTCGAATCGGCAAACTTTTCTATTGGCAAGTCTTGTGATATTGTGTAAAGTTTCTGGATCACATCTGCAGCTTCGTAAAGTCTTGCAGGATCGGAAAATATATCGTTGAGTATGGGCCCAGGAATGAGAAACTCAGACATATGGTTCAAAAGTTTTTGCGCCTCCACAGTGCGACTACGAGGCGTATTCACATTTTCTAGTTGTTCACCAAGGTGTATAATTTTACCTGCTACAGAATTGATTTTCTCATCTAATTGACCGAACCAGTCGATTGCGACTTGATGACGCTCCTGCAATTTACATATTTGTTTTGTGTGTGTTACTTGTTCTTGACGAAGCGACTCTTCCAGCCGTTCGCATTTAGCCTGTTGTTTTTCTTGTAAAATTTTCATATCTTTTATAGTTTGTATAAAAGTTTCATGAAGTGCCACAGGATTAAAATCATCCGCATTTTTCCCACTGATGCCAACTTCATTATTAATTCGCCAAGTTAGTCGTTCAATAAATTCCGACACTTCAAATGGTTCCTAAGTAAAAATAACAATATACATTGTGGAATTTCGAAATTTATAATAGTAACTTCACCTGCTCAAACTCATCCATATACTGTGCTAACATTTTGGTGTTATTATGTTCTTTACAAAGCACTAATAACAATATTTAAAGAATTAACAAAAGTGTTTAATTTTTCTTTACGCCCTTTTCTACTTATGTTGTGAAGTCTGCCTAAATATTTATTATCAGCTGATAGGTGTTACCATATCATAAAAGTATATTTGGCAAATATTATATTTTTCGGGATTAGAGTTAAGTTCCGCAGTTAACATACATATGTAACGAATTAAATTGTTAGAAAAAAATTAGAAATTAGAATATGAACTCATCATCCACAACTACAGAATCATCTAATTTCTTACAAATAAATTATGACAATCTTTACATATAAGATATAATAATTCAGATTGTATATTGGAACTTGCATTACAATTCTCAAATACCTACCGTATGTGCATAATTTTGTAAATAAATTTTATTTTTATAAGAAAAATCTAAATAAAAGTTTTAATTTGAATCGCCGTAATACTGCGATTATAATTTAATATTCTCTTTACTAATTTTTTATCTTTGCTATTGTTGCAAATGTACATGGGGATGAATATGACTGCTTTTTCCACTCAATGATTCGTAGTTTTGTGCCTGAGCTGAGGCGGTCGATGACACTGCTGCTCCCGCTGCCGCTGCAGTACTTGTACTGGCTATAATGTTGATGGCACTAGCTGCAGCGGTCGACGAGGCCGTCATTGCAGAACTAGCCAAATCTGGTGCTGGTAAACGTTTCCCTTCAATAATGTTGGCACTACCCCTAATAACACTAGCGGAAATTCCATTTCCACCACCGCTTACCTCCATTGTTGGTGTTTCAACTAATTGATGCAAATTTCGCAGCTCTGTTGAACGTAAGCTTGCCGACAGACTTTCACTCGATGCTAATGAAGTTGACAAAGGTGAATTTCGATCCATAGACGAAGCTACATCTGTTATAAAAGCGTAAGTTGTAAAGTTGTATAAGTCAAATGGAATTATTGTATTTACCKGTCTTATCAGTGTCTGGAGAGCAAGTAGTTAGGAATACTCCACCCTGTGGTTTGTACACTGACATCATAATCTTTTCTTCCATTTGCATAATAATGCTTTTCTGCACATCGTATTTTTTGCTGAGCGCCTAGAAATTCAAATTTTCAAAGAAATATGAGTATTTAAAATCACTATACAGAAAAAAAAATTCTCTTTTTTTGACATTTTTTTGAAATTCAAAATCGAATTTTTATATTTAAAAAAAAAAGATGTGTATAAGAGACAGTATATATGTATATGTTTTAATTTAAAAAAATTGATTAAAATTTTTTTACATATGATTAAAAAAATTTTAATGAATTTTTTATCCCAAAATCATAAATAAAATTTGATAAAATTTAAAACTGGTAAAAGTATATATGACCACGCAAGTTTACTGTCAGTGCTCTAGAGTTTTGAAAATGATGGCTTGTGCAAGCTCTAGTTAAAAATAATAGAACAAAGTACAAAACCGCGAAAAAATTTAAATACTAAAACAATTTTTAATTACATATATGCTCAGGATTAAAATTTTTTATATCGGTTTTTGGAATATTCGGTATGTATAAGTATAATGTATGTTTTAATAAAAATTTCATAAACACCTTAAACATTTCCTCGTACTCGTCTTTTACTGTTTTTAACAATCGCTTTTGATCTGTGATAACTTTATCGCTACTCTGGAGCTGTGCTTGTAGCTCGTTAATTTTATGTTTAGCACTATCCAATAGCGAACTTTTTTCCTCTAAAATGTGACGCAAATCTATAAGATGTGCAAATAATTATACATTGTTAATTTACCATATAATGTAGATCAAAAATTGATATACCTTTCAACTCTTTATTGTAGTTCGTTTGAAGCATATGGAATTCTTCGTCGCGTGCTTTGAAATTATCTATTTCTGAGAGTTTATCGCGGCATTTTATTTGCACCTCACTCATAACTATGAATTCTGATTCTAATCGCGCCAATTCCTGCTTACATTGAACACCTACTTCAACTTGCTGTTGTGCGAGTTGTAACTCTGAAGTTAAATTGAATATATGACCACGCAAAGATTCCAGTTCGTACGTGTCACCTTTTCTGTGTGCCAGCTCTTCGTTCAGACGTGTTTGCAAATTTTCATTGGCCTGTCGAAGGCACTCATTTCGCTCTATTTCCCTTTGGTATTTCAACTTGATCTGCGTCAATTCATCATCATATAACTGTTCACGATTATTATGTTGCTTTGTGTTCTTTTCAATTTGGCGCACCAGTTCTCTGTTCTTAGCCGTGATACTCTTCACCTGTTCACGCAAGCGATCTCGTTCCATTTCCACACTACGCTTATCACGACTTCGTCCCATTAAACGTCGGTTCCTCTCTGCATGCATTTCTCGGCGATGACGTTCATATTGCAGCTGTAGGCAAATAAGTTGGAATTGTTCCTGCGAATTTATTAAAAAATTGATAATTTAATATACCTAATTTAATATAGGTTTTCAACTAACTCACCTGATCTAATCCAGCTACCATGTCAGTTGTATCTTTTGATCGAATTGTACGCGAAACATACAAGTCGAGTATCTGTTGTGGGCTCAATGTATTAGGTTCATATTTGTTACGAAGGTTAACGCTTTCTAATAGCATTTGAAACAAAGAATATTCATAATTTTGTGGCACGAACTCTATTGTCTGCGTCGAAACGTTGTTGCGAATTTTTACCCTATCGACAGTGTCAAGTATGTGCTCTTGTTTAGTCGGTATATCTAACATTTTACCGCTTTTCTGCAAACGGTGCTGAGATTTGTCCGACTTTAAAGTGTTTATCGATAATTCCGCATCAAGATCATTTGGGGTTTGATGTAATAACAGATTTAGAGCAGAGCACGATCTTGTTCGCCGAAAACTTCCCACTTCAGCAACATCAACTTCCTTTTCTTCAGTACATTTATTATCATTGTAACAAACGCTAAGCATGCGGATACGACGTTCAATGCCATTCGCAAGTAAGAGTTGCATAGATCGACTTGTCGGTATTTGAAGTCCACCTTCGGTGCACATTGATCGATCCGTTTCATTGCAATCACTACAAATTTTTGTAATACCCTCCAGAGTCGGATACGTGGAGATTGGGGTTGGTACCAATGATCCGGATTGCGCGAAAATGTTGGGTGTAGGTGTTACCGATGGAGTTGGTGTTTGTGTCGATGAAGGGGTGGGGGTGGGTGTCGGAACAGTTGACATCCGCAACTGGTTGCTGCTGGTCATATCATTCAGATCCGTGTCGGGCGTTCCACATTTAGCTAAATTAAGACATAAATATATAATCTACAATTTTTTTCAAACAATGCACACTTTTGTTTAGATGCTTACAATTTAATTCGTTGGGTGAACGAAAAGGCCTTTGTTGTTTGGCCAACATTGACTCTATTGTTTGAAATGGACTAAGAGAACGACTGCGGTCTTGTACGATTTGTTGTATTCTTCTATCGTATGTTGTGGATACGCGGGTCACAACTCGTGTATTAACCTCCTGCTCAATTACCGTCGTCGCCGTTGCAGCGGCACCGCCATCGGTTGCTAAGTCAGGGAAATTAAATTGATTTTGATTTTCTTTACGCAAGGGCGAAGATGGTTGACTAGCAAAAATGGCACGCACTGCATGGGGATTTGCCAGATGCTGTTTAAATTCTTTTAAGTCTTTCATGGGTGTAGTCTCCGGTGTGGCTTCCACAGCGGCTTCAGGTGGTGATGARCCTGTGAGTCCGGTAATTTGGGTGGTTATTTTCGAAACAGCAGCATTCGCAGACGGCAGCGGTAACATATAAGAAGGCGTAGGTGTTAATGGCATTGGTCCGGATGCAGTTATATCGTTATAAGGGCTCCAAATTGGAGCAACACTCGTGCTTCTGTTTGAATCGTAATTATGTTGCCACATAGGACCATTGCTACCACGCATATGATCCACATTGTACGCAGAGCTGCTGTCACTACTTTTTTTCACCTCCAAAGTTAATCTGTCCTCGCTATTTGATTCTAGGAGCCTCTTTAACAATGCTATCGACTGGCAATCCTTTGCACACAATGAGTATGCATTCAAAAGTTAATAAAATTTAATAAACGTACAAGTATGTTTTATTTACCTGATGAAACATTGGTAGTGACAATCGTGCGCACTCTTCCACAACGTCATGAGGTTCTTTTTCTTTAAACCGATTGACTTGATTGACTTCGCTTTCCATTGTCGCTGTAACTAACATAGGATGCATGCGCACGGTCTCCAATAATGGCTTGATTGTATGATGAAAAATTGCACCTTTTTCTTTTTTAACAAAATCACTTAAAAAGGCCATAAAGTTACAAGGATACATTCCGTACAGGCGATTAAATAATATTTGTAGCCCCAATTGAAGGTGAACGAGCTTGTCCTCAGGTAGATATTTTGGATTTTGACAATTCCACGAAGCTAAATGTCCAAACACTTCAAACAACTCACCGAAGAGGTTTGGAACCAAGTTAGGTATAATAGGTAACAACGTTATTATACAAAGCAATGCGCTCATTAGTGGCACGATGTCTTTCTCTGTCTGTAAGAAGTAAATTTATCATTTCTAAATAGATTTGTCCCTAAATTATTCATGTTAAAATTGGTACCATCAACAGCTTAAAGATATCCTTAATAAGGCGGTGTTTTTCAATTTTGAATAACCAAGTTGGATTGTTGCGTACAACAAAAAGTAATAATTTCAGCGCCTGTAAACGATGTGTTTGCAATTTAAGCCATTCAGACACCCTGTCAAAAATAAATATATCATGTGGCGGCTGCACTTTGACCAAAACCTCCATAATTCGTTGGGAACCTGTTTTATAATAATACTCCATCATGTAGTGCACGGGCCATGTCTCTTTATCTGTGAAAAGATTGAAGCAAAATAGTTAGAAAACAAAATATTGTATATATGTAAATCAAGCTTACTCTGAGTAAACAATTCTACAAGTTTTCGTTTGGACTCCTCACACTCTTGACTTTGATTGGACTCCAAGTCAGCAAACACTTTTTCCACATTCATACTAATTGTTGACGTTGATTATTATTACCTGCGGCTTTACAACTTTGGTATTTTAATCCGACTACGATTGTTCATCTACTTCCTGTTTAATTGTATCCTAAATAATTGTAAACATTTACAAAGATATATGTATATCTGCGCATATTAGCAATAGCATTAGTCTTCAAATATTTTAATTACATTAGGTAGTTTCGTCATATCCTCCAGAAGTTTGGATTTAGATTTACATTCAGATCATGCAGAAAATCACTCCCAAAACCTCATTTTAACTTTTCATTCACCAACAGCAGAGAACAGTGTAGCGAATTAAAGAGGAAGAACTAATTACCAAAGAACATAGAAAACAGATTTTGCAAATGTCATATAAAGAATAAGTTGATTAGAAATGTAACAGAAAATAGAATACGACTACAGTAGTGCCACCTTCACCCTGTCAAACTGTATTTAATTTGTCTATATCTGTATTAGTTTCACGTTTATATACAAATTTGTGTAAAAACTATAATTTATTTTTATCAATATAATAAGTTTTCCAAAAGCATACAAGAAAAATAAATATGTATCGGAAGACCATACACTTTTATCAGCTGCTCCAAGTCAGGTGGTTGCATAACGGTTAATTTGGCAACTCCCAGCAGTTGTTTATCTATCAGCTGGTACAGCAACTCTTATCTGTCATCTGGTTGTTACGTGAAAAACTCCGAAACTACTCATCTAGTTTTGGTAATAATGTTTAGTACACAAATATGTACCTAAAATTGTTGTTAAATAAATGCACTTCAAGGGGATTTTCCACTCAAATACAAACAGCTAAAGCTAACATAAAGTGAGTAATGTTATGTTTTAGTGATTACGCAAAATATAAACTTTTATTTTACTATTTTAATAGAAATTGGAAAAGTGTTGTCGGCTTAGAGGTACATGCCCAGTTGCTTACCGATTCAAAATTGTTTTCTGGTAGCAGCAATGAATTTGGAGCGCCACTTAATTCAGCGGTTTCACATTTCGATGCTTCAATGCCTGGCACTTTRCCGGTAAAATTGAACAATAGTTTATTTGACTTTCTCAATTAAATCAATAATTTTATCGACATACAAATATAAGGTACTTAATAGGAAATGCGTAGAAATTGGGGTAAAGACAGCCATTGCACTTGGTTGTAGGGTAAACGATGTATCCATGTTTGACCGTAAGCATTATTTCTATGCTGACTTGCCGGTTTGTATCATATAATATTTACTTCCGAATTGGTTTCTAACGCTCTCTACTTTTTGACAGGTTGGTTATCAAATCACTCAGCAAAGAGCTGCTTTAGCAAACGATGGCGAGTTGACATTTCCYGTTATTGTGCCGGGAAAGAAAACGTACTATAAGAAGGCACGTTTACTGCAATTACAATTGGAGCAAGACAGTGGCAAATCTTTACACGACGAAGAATTAAAGAGGTAAAAAACATAATCTTATGACGATAACCACAAGGCACATAAACATGTTTGTAATTTTTAGAAGTCTAGTGGACCTTAATCGTGCTGGTGCACCACTTATAGAGCTAGTATTTGCACCTGATTTAGAGACTGGCGAGGAAGCAGCATCATTAGTGAAAGAATTAATATTAATCTTAAAGTCCCTGCGTTCATGTTCCTGTAAAATGGAAGGTTAGTTAGTAATTTTTATAAATTTGCATTTCTAATGTATTCATTGCAAAACTACAGAAGGAGCACTTCGTGTGGACGCTAATATCTCCATTCACAGGAGTGGTGAACCTTTTGGCGTACGGACTGAAGTAAAAAATATTGGGTCAGTTCGCAGCATTTCTCAAGCAATAACTTTCGAAATACAACGCCAGTTTGAAGTTATATTAAATGGCGGCGTTATTACAAACGAAACCCGCTCATGGGATGCAACAACGCGTTCTACAGTGCCTATGCGCGATAAAGAAGTTTTACAAGATTATCGTTTCATGCCGGAACCTAATTTACCACCCTTACGTATAAATACGTCTACAACTGACATTTCCTGTAGCGATGTTATTTCTGTAGCGTCAATCAGTAGAGATATACCTGAGCTACCAGAGGATATTCGATCAAATCTAATAAAAAAATATCAGCTTAGTCAGGACGTTTCCGTAATTTTAGTGGTAAGCTCTTAAAAATGTGCATAATTTTTTTGTTCTCTTTGTAAAGGCATTTGTCATATTTTTTAAGAACGAGACAAAATTGTTACAATACTTTATAAGTATAATGGAGCATGTTCCTGGCATACCAGCGAAGCTTGTTACAAACTTTTTAATAAATGATCTCTTAACTTTTTGCAACAAAACAAATGTGGACGTCGAGGACTGGTAAGTACCTATCTGCGTAATTACGTGCTTACACAACTTTGTATGAAATCACAACAATCCTAATGTTAACATATTGCTCTTCTAGTCAACTTAGCTATATCCACCTTGAAGATATCATTTCAGCGCTTCATGCTGGCACCATAAATTTACAAGCTGGGCGAGAGCTGATTGAAATCATCCATTATAATCCTTCACAAAAAGTGCAAACGGTAAGATAAAATCAAACAAATATTCATTATGTATGTACGTATATTCTATGTACGTATGTATGTATTGTTCAAGTTTAAGTTTTTTTTTTATACCTTTACCTTATACCTCTAAGTCTAATGGTCCATGAGTTTTTGAAATATCGATCTCAAATCTTACATACGACCTTTTCACGAAGAAGCTGCTCATTTGTCGGAACCGTCGAAATCGGACCAATATAGCAAATATCTTTGTGATAAAAATATTATTTACAAATATTATTAAAAGACCGGTAGATGGGGCTAGCATAGCATACAGTTACCATACAAACTGATAGATCAACCCAAGTCCTTTTAACGAAACTTGAATTTAGATTATTGTCTAAGGCATGGGCACAATCTCCGAATATATTGTTCAGATCGGAGCCATATAGCATATAAGAACATTGAAACTCAAATCAATCAAAATCAAGTTCTTACATGGAGAACTTTTTTATTTTTGTAGGGTAATCGCTAGCTTCGGTGCCACCGAATATAATGTTTTTTCTGTTCTTATATATTTTTATTTAATCCCAATATATTTTAAAAATGTCTCACGTATATAAAATAAAAATAACTAAGTTATTCCTTCATTATTAGCTTATAAAAGACCACAATCTGGAACAAATTACTGATGAGGAAATGATTGAGCAATTCTGCCGGCAGGCGATTGAGCAACAAGAACAAGCTGTAAAGCAATATAAAAGTGGTAAAAAGAAAGCGCTATTCGCTATTGTCGGTGAAGTGTCGAAATTGTCTAAACATAAGGCTAACATGAAAATGGTCGTCGCTTTCCTAGAGAAGATTTTAAAATCAGAATAAAGTAAAAAAAAGTGTATACCAATCGTACTTTTTATTTGCTCAAAGTGTACATTATTTATGTGGTTCTTGTAGTTAGTACTGTAATTGTAATTATTGTTGTTGTTATGTATATGATTTATGCAATAGTGTTTGTGAAATTTGTTGAAAATGAGTTTATCTGCACCATTTGAAAAGCTGTAYCGCAATATTCTCCTAAAAGGAGGAGAAATGCAACAGCATCATAAGTAAACGTATAAATAAATTTAAGTTTTTTTTAGTTTTGTAAAAAAGAAAATTACTAATATGGGTGGGATGCAAGCAAAAAACACACTGTATTCTATTGTCTATCTTGCAGACAATGAAAAGCCATAGAGCAATATTAATCAATCGTAATACATAATATCTCAATGGAAKAATGTTTAATGGATGGAAACAAATTAAATAATTTTGATTTATACAGGATTTTAAGTATGTAAACCGTATGTATGCATGTATGTGTGGTTAGTGAGTATAGGGTTGATTTGTAGACTATGTGACTAATTTATATGCATGTAAATATGTATGCTAATAAATGCATTTAATTTCTAAAAGGAAGCTATTAATGGCAGTTTATTTGTTTTGAATTTCGCCATCCTTTCGTAAATTTCTAGTTTTAGTGATCGTAATCGCGACATGTTGATGGTGGCAGACTCATAGAAACGGCGTTGTCCAAGCTATAAAGAAATATATGTGCTATAGCAATTATTTGTTTCATTTTCAAAGCTCTTTCTTACCGCCTAGACTCGCTCTCTAACAAATTGGGATCTAAAGGATGTTGGGAAACGTGTCGTAACGAATCGCCCAATGTATTTCGCAAGTGTTGCATTTCGCGATTGGCTTTAGAACTACGCAATATGTATTGTTGACGTCGTTTGGCTTCTTGTGCCAATTGCTCACGCAACATAGATATCTGAAAATAAGTATTTTAATTAAAATTTCAGAAGAAAATGTTGCCCTATAAACCAGATCAGCGATCAGCGTTAAAAGCTGGGTCCAATTTGACATGTCGATCTGTCCATCAATCGATCTATGTATACGCGAACTAGTGCTTCAGATGTGAGATATCGAGCTGAAAGCTGCTCATTTGGCCGAATCGACGATATCGGATCATTATAGCTACCATAAAAGCTGTTGGTTGGTCAGTTTTTGTGGTAGCTAGATTAAGCTCCTTTTTTTTGTGAAGGGTGTTATTGCCGTGGTGCAACCCAACCTTTGTATTCTTATTTACATAACTTTTTAGAAATTCGTCCTTAACTTACCTGATTTTCCAAACGCAACACCTGCTGCCGATGGGACTGTTCGCGTGCATCTAATAACTTCTCAGCATGCAATTGAGCAGAACGATAGCGCTCTGTATCTAATCCACCTTCCCCACACTTGGCACTGTCGTGTACACGTGCCTTTAGTCTTGCTAATTCGGACTCCTTTTCCGCCAAGAGTGTCTCTAAACGTCGCACTTTCAAACGTAAATCACGGGACTCTTGCTCAAGAACGGCATGATCAAGCCCACAACTATATGAACCCTGTGCGTTTTCCATTCGATTCGAGTCATAATCTCCAGAATCATAGAACGAAGTAGTTTTTTCTGCACGATCATATGCTGTTATTCCACCACCACCTGAAAACTTACTCTTGCGATCCGACTCTAATTGCTTAACTTTATCTTGTAAAGATTGTAATTTGTTACGTAATTCGGATTTTTCTCTTTGTGACGATTTCAATTGTCGATTGAGCTCTTCCTCCTCACGTTTGTCAGCATCCGTCGTTATACCGCCACTGTCGCCTGCCTCTTGATTCCATTTAGCGATACGCAATTGTGACTCCAAAGCTGAACGTTGCACTTCCATGTCGGTAACCTGCTCTTGCAGTCTCTGAATACGATCTAATTGCGCC